CCCACAGCTCCCCTCCTTGCCTGCACCCCTACACTGCACTTGGCTGTTAGAAGTGGAAGATGTTGGCACCCACACCAGGCTCTGCAGCAGCAGCAGAGAATGCAAGCAGCTACCCCTCGCCTGGCAGCAAAAGTAGGAGACTGTCTGCACCCGGCTTTGGGGGGGATATAGGATTCCTCCATGCAAGTCTCTCCCTCACAAGTCTCTCCCCCCATTGAGTCATGTGGGAAATTAGCAGTGATGGGGAAAGGAACCCCCGCGAGCATCCCCTCCTGTGACGCCCTTTGCCCCCCAAGCCAAGGGTGGGAACAGTTGGGAAGAAAGCAAGGGTGGGGGAGAGTGAATGCCACAGTGAGGGGGGAGTGCCAAGGGTGAGAGGAAGGTGGGGAGACCAGCAATTGTGGAGAGTGAGTGGAATGCCAAGGGGGGGAGGAGTTGCAAAAGTGGGGTGAGTGAAGTGGCAGGGGGGGGGGGTAGGTGGGGATAGCAGCAAGGGCTGCGTAGACTGATGGAGAAAAGGTGTGGAGGGAGATGAGGGTAGTCTGACAGCTAAGAGGAATGATAGAAAAGAGTGGAATTGGGTTAGGTTGCCCAATAAAGGGAATGGGAGAAAGGGGGGAAATAGAGGGACAGATTATCAGAGGGGGGTAGAGTTGTGTCAAGTATTGTCCTTTGTTTTAAGGTGTAATTGCATTTTTTAAATTGCATTTTATTTTTATAAACAACAACACATGACGCAACATTTTGTTGTGGGTCCCCACTTGTTAAAAGGATTAGCTGAACAGGAGAAAAATTACTGAGCTATGTTTCACATTTTTTTTTATCAGAATGCTAATGTTCATATGGAGAAACAGGCAAGGAGAGAAGGGGCTGGTGAGGAAAGTTGGATGGCCCATGGTGGGGGTTAACAGTGTAGAGTTCCCAGATGTGGCTGGAACCCTGCCAGTAGGAATTGGAGGGTGGGGACAGGCATGCCAGCCTCACTCTGATATGCTACATCACTTCTTGTGTGAAGCCAGAAGCGACGTCGTCATATCAGGGTGACAGTCTAGGATTTGCCCAAAATTCTATAGTTAAACCATAGAGTTTGGGGCAAGTCCTATAGCATCAGCCTAACACAATGACATTGCTTCCAGTGTGGCGCTGGCTGTGACATTGCATGCCAGGTCCCCCCCCCATCCCCCCCCCGACCTGTGAAGCACAAGCAGGGAATGGAGGTAATTACTAGGAGACCCCTTAGAACAGTGGTGATGCTTCTCTTCTCAGTGAGCGCATCTAACACCACTGCTGCCTTCCCCTCATCTTCTTTCCTCTCCTGCCCCCTCAGCTGAGGTATGAGGAAACTTTAAAGTAGGCAGTTCAGATGCCAGCCTTCCTTCTATCTCTCTGTTCCCTTTTCCTTCCAGCTTCATCTCTCCTTACTTCACAGCAGGATTTTCAAACATTCCTCATTTCTCTCTTTCCAAGCAGGAGAATCACACCTCCGCATCTCCATTTCCCCCACCAAAGTAGATGTGTTTTGGTGTGTGGGGGGTTTTTTAAATCAGTTTTCTTCTGTATTGGAGGAGCAACAACTTCTATGCTGAGCGGCCATAACCAAGTGGAGACAACACTTGTGAATTACTTATAAGTGCACTTGTAGAAAATGTCACATATCCAGTGCAGCCCTAAGCAGAGTTACCGCTTTCTAATCTAGCTGGGCCCTCAGTTCTCTTCTGGCTATGTCTGAAGCAGCTCTGTGATTGTTCACAATTTTCTCCTCAGGAATATTTTTTCCTCACCTTTAGCCTTCCTTGCCTATTCTTAGCTTAGACTTTCATTTCAGGGTTTCAAATAGGCAGACTTTTGTCCTAGTTTTCTTCTCATGGGTGATTTTTTTTCCCTAGGAAAACTCTATTTTACCTAATATTAAAAGATTCATTTAATAGGGAAAAATACTGAGGTATGTTTCCATCACAGTTCTTCTATTAGAATGCTAACATTCTTAGGGAGAAAAATGATATATTGGTCTGCAGCAGAGCACATAATTTACAACCAGGTGTAAAACTACTCTGTCCAAATGGCAGACAGTGCTTTACCTGCCTGTTTCTCCTGAATACAGCCCTGCCCATTCTGTTGAATTAAGGAGATTTTCAGTATATCCATTAATTTTGTAATCCACCTTTAACCCAGCTCTATTACTGTTGTACATAATATAACACCTCACTGCATTGTTTTCTGATCTTTCAGTGCTGTTTTATTGTCTGTATTAGTGCGTCCTCTCATTTGATCGGTTCTACATATTGTACAGTTCTTACCGCATTGCTTTTAGCTGTAATCTACCTTGAGACTCAGCTGGATTATAAACGAATAAAGTAAATGAATACAGCACAGGATAGGGCAGTCTGATTTAGGGCGGTTTTCAGCAAATATACAGAGAGTAATTGTTTCCATTTTGGTACATTTTCCAGCTCCTGTAACAAAGAGGAACGAGACAGTTTATACGGAAATCAGGAAATCTTTGAATGGTGAGTGAACTCATTTTTTAAAAGTCAACATGCTAGGGTTGCCAACTCTGGGCTGGGAAATTCCTGGAGATTTCAGGATGTATCCTGGGGAGGGGGAGGTTTGGGAAGGAGAAGGACATCAGCGGGTATAATGCCATTGAGTCCACCCTCCAAAGCCACCATTTTCTTATCTCTGTAGTCTGGAGATGTTGTAATTCTGGGAGGTTGCCAGGATTCAACTGGAGGTTGGCAACCCTATGTGCAGTTGCCATTTTGTATGTATTTATTTTTGAGGAGGAAAAATAGTTCCTAATGGGAAAGTTACTGAAGAGTGGTTAGAATGTTGGGCTAGAATCTAGAGACCTGGGTTTGAATCCCCACTCTGCCATGATAGCTTGCTGGGTGCCTTGGGCCAGTCACACACTCTCACACTGAACTACCTCCCAGGGTTGTTGTAAGGATAAAATGGAGGAGAGGGAGACTCATGTAAACTGCTTTGGGCCCCCATTGGGAGAGAGGCAGGTTATAAATGAAGCAAATAATAATAAGAATTAATAATAACTAAAAACAATCAATAAATGCAACTGAAAGCATTCAGGAGGGCTTTTCTACACAGGCAATAGAGTTGCACTGTGCTAAATGATTCACAAAATCACTTGGACAAATTATTAGGGACTGTGATCTATACTACTGTGTATAGCTTCTGAAACTAGGATCCTACTATAGAACTTGCATCATTTAATGTATCTTGTTAATACTTATGCTTTGCTTCAGTTCTGTTTTTAGACTCCTGCTTCCTATTGCATTGTTTATTGAACACCCCATCCGTCAACTGCATTGACTCAGTCTGTGTAAAGGCCATGAGTCCAAGTGAGAAAGGCGAACTATAAATAACAAATAAAAATAAATAAGTCTTAATATAATAGGTGTTTATTCTGTTAAAACATCATGCGGATTAAACCTGTCGATGCAGTCTTAAATGCACCACTGTTTCACCAACCTTTTAAAAACCACTTTCCTGATCAATAGAGCTTTTCTAAATAGAGTTCTGCCCTTCTCATTGGAATAATGGTCTTAGAGGGGTGCAGCTCCATTTAGGATGACACTGTAAATTGACCTGTAAAAACCAAAAGGGATGATCCATTCCTGGTTTACAACCATATGCAAAGGTGGTAAGCAAGATCATGCCTGATCTCCCCACCTGATGTGTGTCCTCCTTGCCCAGGATCCATTAGAAACATAGCAGCATATTTTGAGCCTGAATGTTAACTGAGATCAGCGTCCTATCTGAATTTAGTATTTCTTAAGACTTGTTGTCTAGCACTTATGAAACAGAGAGCTTTTGCACCATTATAATATCTCCTGAAGAAGATCCATTTTTTGAAACATTGTTATATAATCCGGAGATGACGTTGATTATGTACCTTGGTTCAAAGATTTTCTTATGATTTGTTTATCATGTTGTAGTGCTTCAGATTGTAATGCATAGATAGCATTCTTTATAAGTCTTAATGACTGTTTGATTTGTGGGTCAGACTCTCACAACTGTTGTCTTTATACTTGTTTACTGATCGGGTCGTGTTTGTCCAGATTTATCTCCTCCTTGCCTCTGACATAACTGAAATATAAGAATATATTCATATCAATGGAATGTAGGAATAATATTAATGGGCACATGCACATAAAATCAAACACATATTCCTAGTTGCCCACTCAGTTCTTAATCTGGGTGCCATTGCTTGGATTTTATACACACATTATTTATTTCATTTACAGCCTGCCTTTCTCACTGAGACTCAAGGCAGATTACAATAAACAGAGCGGCAGGATTAGGGTTGCCCGGTCCCTCCTGAAAACAGGTGGGGGGAGGGATTTACCAGGAGGTGGAGGGAGGCCCAGGCTACATTGCTGACTATGTGGCGACATCACTTCCCGTGTGTACAGAAGTGACTAGGGTTGGGCATGAACTGGCTCATGAACTAAAGTTTGTGATGAACTTTTGGCTGGTTGGTGGTTTGCAAAGTGAAGTTTGTGGCAGGTCAACTGGTGCAGACTTTCCACAAACTGTCAAGCTGTCGGTGGAGGTTGGTGCAGGCTCACAAATAGATACATTTCCAGAAAGACTGTTTCCGCTCAATCAAAATGTTTACTAAACTTCAAAGGGGGGGGGGATTCTCCAGCCTTGGAAACACTCTAGTCAGTTTCAAACTAATCATGTCAGTTTCAAGAGGGTTTTCCCCCTTTGCTGGATTCGTGTGTTCCCATTTTCTTGCATAGAGTTTTCAAAATCCACCCCCCCCTTGCTTGGATGTATTGTGACTCTGTGATTTGAGAGCAGTTCTTTTAAGTTTCTAATGCCAGCGGCACTGGGTTCTGCTGGGCATTCTGCACATTGTAACTGCAGGGATTCTCTGGTTTGACATTAGTCCTCCTTTTGCTTGCATTGCCACAGTGGCACTAGGTTCTGCTGGGCACTAGTACATTGCACTGGTTCTGCTGGGCTTTCAAACCCCCCTCCTGCTTGCAGTGTGATTCTGTGCTTCACATCAGTCTTGTTGAGCTGGCATTGCCACAATGGCACTGGGTTCTACTGGGGGGGATGTAGTAAAAGGAGTGACAGGATTGCCCATTGGAAACAATGGGAGAGGCTTGAAGGCCCATTAGAAGCCCCAGAACACTTCTGATACTCCCAGGGGTTGTCATTCCACTTAGGAGCTGTCATTCCAGTTCCAGAGCACTATTTCTATTTCTGAGGACCGACTTTCCACTCTGGGGGCTGTCATTCCAGTCCCAGAGCAGTTCATCTGGGCCCAGAGACATTAATTGAAAATCCAGTCCACATTTTAATTATTACAACTATTTTGTGCTGTAATGTATTTCAATGGAGTCCATACAA